AGGAGAGTCTGTGTGGAGTTTAAAAAAGGTGGAAAGGAACTAACACCAAAACCGGTTTTGCAGGGACAAATGCAACAGCAACACCATTCATCATGCTGAGACAGGTTTGTTTTAGTTTGATCTGATAACACACTGTTATCAGATGCAGTTCTACTGACTACACACAGCTCATGTCAGTGTTTTTTTGTGGGTGTGAGAGCTGCAATTTTAAGTACAGTAACAGAACCAGGATCCTTTCCTGATTTAATCTTTGTATGAAGTGTCTGTTCATGGAGATGTGTGAGAACTCCCATCATGATCTTTATCGTGTTAAACAGAACAGGTGACAGGTGGAGGAGCTGTCAGATTGCTTCCTAGCCTAGAGCTTTAGGCGCCCTGGGGATCCTGAGAGCAGGAATAGAGGCATTCTGGACCGCTGAGGCTTCCTCAGCGCCTCGTCATCCCGTTTCTTCTCCTCTTTCTCCTCGGGAGGGGGGTTTGTGGGCGGGAACAGGTGCGCTGTCTCCTGGAGAACCATGTGACCCATGGCTCTCCAGTCCTGCCGTAGAGTGGCACTTTTGCCAGCCAATCAGGGCTGGCGTAAAGGTATTTAACCATCTGATGACGTCATGCAAGAAGTGCGACCGACTCTCAGGTCGCCCGCACCGAGACAGTTTTGTCTCACCAAGTCTGAACGGGTACGGTCAGTTGGGTTATTTTCCCGTCCAAAAAGCTGGAATATCTCGGTTTTTTTTCTCACCAAAATATGAATTCGTCACATTTACGGGCCGTTTTCCTGATCTTCGCTGCCTTGATGACAGTCGGGAGAAAAGTTACAGGTGAGTCCAGCGGCGAAACCTGATAGATCGGAGGTCAGAACCAGTAAGATTTAGAAGGAACACTCAACGTCACGAAAGCAACTTATTCCAAACGGATACAGATGATTTAATTGCTGCGATCCAGATCTCAGTGACACGCTGAGATCACCCTATGACCTGACAGAGATGGCCACAGGGGGTGCTTGGGTGCTGCCCCCTCTAAATGTGGAGGGGGGAAGTCATAATATATATATATTTTTTTTGTAAGTATTACCAGTGTCAGTTTTACTTAATAGTATATGGCTACATGTGACAGTTTTCCTCTGGGCCTCGAACAGGAGGACGGCTGGACCTAAAGAGTGTTACTGGCCCGTTAGCTCTGACAGGAACAGGCCAGGTCCTAATTCATGCAGGTTTAGGTGGAATGTGATAAGAGAGAAGTGTATCTACTGTAACCGAGAGAGGAGGAGGAGGCACAGCAAGAGAGTTTAACCCAAAAGTATCATTCTAAAGGGAATAATATGAATCTAAAAAGGAATAACACAATCAGTCATTTACATGGATCAAGTTAGAACATATTGTGCTAAAGTGAGTAATTATAGCCCAATTCTAACAAACAAACTTCTAATTCTGATGTGCTTATTTTGGAATCCTAGTAATTTTCCGACTTTTAACTTGAATGCATGTACCGGGTTAGACAGGGAAATCTATCCCCACCAAGATTTCTTTTCACCAGCCGCCACTGCCAGATAGTCTATTGTTATCTTTAAAAAAAGTATTTTTCAGATATGAATAAGACTAAACCAAGAATACTCTAAAGGGCTGTTTGTGTCTCCAGGGAGCTCCTCGGTCATCGGCCCACACCATCCGGGTCCTTCCCTGCTTTCTGGATCCTCCGCTCGATGTCTCAGGCCTAACAGTTGAGTGGAAATTCAGCGGAACTCAGCTGGTGCATTTTTACCGAAGCAAATCTGACTCTGACAGGCAGAGGCAGAACATCTCTAAACCGCTCTGAAATGTCCAAAGGGAACATTTCCCTGAGGCTGCTCAACGTCAGGGAGGAGGACGCGGGAATTTATACCTGCCTGGTCCCCAAACTCGGGTCAAAGGTCAAGCTGGACACAGTCACGCTGGTTGTTGGTGAGTTCTGCTCAGCACGTTGAACCAAAATCAGAAAACAAACATGTTTGAGACTTAGTCTAAACTGAACTTTTATTTATTCCTGTGCGCAAAAAATGAGACCCGTGAAGGGGAGCAAATATCAAGAAGGAGCTGAAGGCTTTACCGTCTGTCCTCTGTGGCATCCAGCTGTTTTCCAAACAGCTGTTTTGTCCACATCTGGACAAAAAAAGTGGATTTCCTCCTGCAACATGGTAGTTAATTCTGGCACAGCTTAGACAGCGTCCTGCTGAGAGGCAGGACGTGTTTCAGTGGGGGGGGGAGAGTCTGTTTGGGGTGGGAGGAGTCAGACAGGAAGGGGGAGAGAAAACCGGTTTGTGGCAGTGAGAGAAAAAAAACAGCAAAGACAAGTTAAGCCTAAACGTCACTGACGATGATATGTTTGTATAACGTTCAGGTAAAGGTTCATGTCACTGACTGTCACGCCTTTCGTTATTGAAACCTGAAACCACCCTCACAAAATGGCAGATTCAAGCAAGTACTGGCAGTTTAGTAGACAGTTCCAGTAACAGGCCCAGAACCAGGTTCCTCTCCTGATTTGATCTTCTTTAAAAGCATCTGTTCATGGAGATGTGTGAGAATTACCATCCTGATCTCTAACGTGTTAAACAGAACATCTGGGGGTCAGAGCTGGAGGGAAAAACTGTTTCCAGACTCACATCCAGATGTTTCTGCAGCCAAACAGCAGCTGGAGAAAAAACAGCTGGTTGTTATGTTAGGATTTCTGTTCTCTGAGAAACAGGGAAATGTTCATTTTTATTTCTTTATCAGTCAAATTCTGAGCTGGTAAAATACAGACTAAAAACTGTCTAAGTTACTACGTAGTGTTTAAAGCAGCCACCAAAGGGAAGTGCTGAGTCAGTAAATGGAACTGCAGTTGTTGATGTTGAGTTTAAGTAAACGAGTTTTAAGTGATGCAGAGAAGCTCACTGGCTTGCATACACATCTCTGATAAAACCTGTTTCCATCAGACGGCATTATATAACTGAAACCTGAACCTGAACCTGACACACCCCACCTGAACCTGACACACCCCACTTACCGGCAGGGTAAAGGTAAATCCAGACCACAAAGACAACAATCACTCTCGTACGGGCGTTCGAATGTGTCAAAGGCTACTGAGGAGCGTCGCTTTAGCTGTTTCAGTTCATGTTTTCTGTCTGAGGAGGATCACCAACATGTAACCTGTGGAGGAAGCAGAAACCTGAAGGTAAAGAGCTGCTGTCAGAAGAAAAAACTGTTTTACTGGAACAGGTTTTGGATCAGAACAGGAATCAGAAGGACCACCAGCAGGGAAACCTGAGCTCATTCTCACACCTTTGAGGGTAGAAACTATGAAAGACGGTTCATCTTTGAGGACAGAGATCAGGGCGTTTCTTAAAGTTCCAACTGGTGGCAGTTTGGAGTCTAAAAAGCTGAGAAATGGAGACATTTTTTATCCAAAAGCTTCAGCTCAATGTGAAAATCTGCAAAAAACGATTATTAGATTTGTGAGTGTTTAAATCTGAATAAATGTTTGTCTAGGAGGCTGATAAGTTCGAAAAGTGACAATGACTTTCTGTGGGCGGGTTCTCACAGCTCAGCTTCGTGTGTAAATGAACCAGCGGCCAATCACAAACAGGCTTTCCTCATCCAATAGGAGGCCTTGTAAATAAAACCTTCAGCTCCATGAAAAGCGTAGCAGAAATGGCTTTACTGGCTTTAAGCAGGATTTTTAGCCACTTTATGAAAGTTGTTAGATTTTGGGGGCATTTCAGTAACATTTATTTATGATAATCTGTCCAAACATAAAATCACAACATTATATATGTTCAATAGTCTTGTGTGTTTGTTGGAGATTCTTTGATAACCAGTTCTTCTATTGCTGTTTGCTGTCTTCTTTACCTGATGGAATAATTCCTGCTTGTTTCTTCAAGCAGTGAAACATTTTATCAGAAAGAGCAGCCAGATGTGTTGAACTGGAGGATTATTCTGACAATCTTCATCATTAATAACATTTCAGTGGTTATGTATTTATTTAATGTGGTGAATCACAACAATAATCCAT